ATATAACATATATGTGTATAACATATAATGTAGGCAATATAACAACTTTTGGTGGGTTCTGCTGCTTTCAGAAAGGCTTTATTTTATTATTTTTTTTCCTGGGGGAAGAGAATGTGGAACTGCATAAAGTATTTACTCCTACATTATTTGTTAACATATCCTTGCCTCTTTAACAAATACACAAACTGTTCTGATAGTTCTGTAAATATTGCATTGCAGGCGCAAAACCAGATTTTAAGGTTTGTCTCTGTACTTCTAATCTCTGTCCCTGCAGGGTGTCTAACTAATGATGATTTGTTGTTTGGAGTTTAATTAAGAAAAATTTAAGCTTTACTTACTTGTGTTCTTACAATTAAATGCAAATAGGTTTAGAAGATCCTGCTTGGGCATGAAAGCGGAATAATACTGACAATCCAATAAAAACCAGTCAGTATAAAAGGGCAACTTAAGTCCTAAATAAGGCAGAGGAGACAAGCTACACAACAGGCTGCTTAGTATTGACTTGCAGGGGGTGAAGTGATGGTTAATAATTAACTCTAAACCTCATTTGAAATAATAGATACTAAGATTTCTGTCTTAATCATGTTCCTGGACGTAGGAACAGATAACTGTTCATATTACCACTGATTTTTTTTTTTTTTTCAGTACTTTCACTCACTCTGATGTGTTTGTCCATTTCCTTTAGCTCATTTTTCCTTAAGCAATTCTTGGTTTGTTTTCCATTGCTGCCTTTCTTGTTGGATTTGCTCCTACATCCAGACCATCTGATTTGACCTCATACCGGACAAGTTCAGTACAAATACACATTCTATCTTTTTGTCTGTCCTTAAGGCATGCAATCTAGCATATTATTGTACCCGGAAATGCATGTACATGCAAATTTCTCATTATGAAAGTAATGAGAACTAGATGATAATAAAGCATACTTTTAATATTCATTATGTTAATCATCCAAAAGCCTTGCATTAGCAATTCTTTCACATGGACAAGTGTTATCTTAAGAAGTTTCAAGGTTTCCAGTACAATTTTGTATTCTTTTTCATCTTGGTACATTTAACATTTGTGTATTCTCATCAAGATAAATCAGACTGTCCATGTGACTGGAGTATTTACTAAATCAGGGATTTACAATGGTGTTCTCAAAAGTACCAAAGGAGTTTGGAAAATCCAATAAAAGGTACTCTTTCTATCGCATCTGATTCCTGACTATCCATTTAGAACAAAGCAAACTTCTAACAGCACTTTCAAAACTCAAGATGAATAAAATTTATCATATTCCATACTAAGTTCAACCACCTATGGTATTTCGTGGCTTTGTAAGCTAAAACTGTATTATACTAATCTGATCTCATATTTCAGAACTCATGTGATTGCCTCAGAGATTCAGGAAAGTTTTTTTTCCTACTAATGGTAGGACTAATGAATAGTAGTTAATTCTATTAATAGGAAATAATTCCTACTAATGAACAGCAGACAAGCTGGTAAATGGATGTAGGTTGGCTAATTCTGTTTTCTTATATATGAAAGATGCAATTTGTAGCAAGCTTAGAAAAATTCAGAGATTTAGATGGGCCATGCAAGTTTTGTAAACAATTTCTAATAGCTACACCCATGTACATGTGTCCTGGTTTTGGATGGGATAGGTAATTTTGTTCCTAGTAGCTGGTACAGTGCTGTGTTCTGAATTTAGTAGGAAGATAATGTTGATAACAAGCTGACATTTTTAGTTGTTACTAAGTAGTGCCTATACTAACACAAGGACTTTTCAGCTTGTCATGATCTGCCAGCGAGAAGGCTGGAGGAGCACATGAAGTTGGAAGGGATATAGCCAGGACAGCTGACCCCAACTGGCCAAGGGGATATTCCATACTGTATGATGTTGTGCTCAGTATATAAACTGGGGAGAGTTAGCTGGAAGAAGCCAATCACTGCTTAGGGACTGGGTGAGCATTGGTCAGTGTGGGGTGAGCAATTGTATTGTGCATCACTGGTGAGGGTTTTGTTAAGTTGTATCTCTCTTGGTTATTTATCTTTACATTATTATTGTTATTAGTATTATATTTCACTTTATTTCAGCTATTAAGCTCTTATCCCAATCCATGAGTTTTACCTTTTTTGATTCTCCTCCTCATCCCACCAGGGGTGTGGAGAAAGTGAATGATCAGCTGTATGGTACTTGGCTGCCTGCTGAGGTTAAACCACAACAGCATGTCACCTTTTAATAGCAGATTTCTGTGCCTCAGTGACTTCCTCTACCCATGCCAACTACTTCCTTAGTCATCTAGGAGAAACTAGGAAAAACCACCTGTAACCATTCAAACACAAACAGGACACAACTTTGTGCTCAATATTGGAACTGTATATTGTAGAGTGTTGTTAACAGTCCTTGGTTTTGCTCTGTGTGAATTTAACCTGTGCTTTCAGGGCTGCTGGTAGGTGTTGTAATATTTGGGGATTACTGTGTTTCACTTGTTTTTTTCCCCAGCCATGAAAATATTAAGCCCTCGCAAGGTTATTTATTTTGGTTTAACCCCGGTATTCTTCTGATGCTTTTTCTCCAGCTCTACAGACCCTTTTTCACAAAAAATAAACTGCAAGTGGCTAAGAGTGCTAAATTACAAACTTAACATATAAAAGGTCAATAGACAGTGTACAAAGCAATGTAAATGTTTGAATAAATCTGAAACCCCTTTTTGGATTTCATTAAATACACTTAGAAAAGTGTTCAAGCCTCTCATGTTCAACCTGTGAAAAACCAACATGGTATGGAAACATACAAAAGAAGCTTTACTGCTGCTACTGATACTGATGTGGTGTACATAAGGTATTGATTCTGTGTAATAAGAATGCTTAACTAAGCACCTGTATTCTGAGCTGTTACTTAATTTTTCAAACTTCCTAGGGTTTAAACTTAATAGTTAGAAAGAATCACTTCCCATTAAAGAATTAAACCAAGCTTGAGCTTGAATACTTTGGCTCCTCACTTTAGAGACCCCTCTCACCATCTTGAAGTACAGATTAGAGCTAATACATTGCACCTGCTGCTGCAGGGGTGCAGAGTTTCCTTTCAGTGGGTTACCTGGTGGATCTGTTTGCTGGTAATTAACCAGGGAGAGCATGAAAGAAGAGGACAATAAGCATGATAAAGGATGTGTTTATCTTCATGTAAGTATATGAAATATTATTACTCTGTTGATGAGCCAGAAAAATAATAAGAGTCTAATACTTGCCTTGGCACATTATATGGAAGAGCTGGAGAACAAGTACAAAACAATGCTATGCGACTATGTATTAGTGATGGTACTTTATTTCCACCAGACCTTCTGAAATATCAAGAGACTATTTTAGTCCATGAGAATCAAATACAATAGGTTAATGTGTGTGAGTTTGTCTGAATGTTTCCACTGAATGATAGGAAAAATGTATTTGATCCACTTGGAGAGTAATTTTGTTCATTTCCTAGATGAAACATGGTGAAAGTAGCTCAGAGACATGTAGTTTTCTTGCTGATGTTCCTCTGGATGCTCAAAACTTTATAGTAAATTTAAAGGACCTGTGATTCTAAATGACAGACATGCACAATACTCTAGTACCATGGAAAGTTGTTCTATATTCTCTGCAGGGGAAGAAAAATTATTGTTCTAAAATGTTTGGATGCAGTGTGCCATCTTTTTGTAACTGAGGATTTTTCCTGTTGTCTAGCTTCATTAATCCTCACTGTTGTCTTGTATTTATTAATCCTTGACCGTTAATTTACATGTCAAAAGTTCATAATTCACTAAACTGCCTGATTATCTGCTACGCCTTTGCCTGGAGTAACTGGTACAAAAGCACATTGGTGATAATAAAAGATCCTGCCAAGATCCATGGAAACTACTACAAGTAGTTGGAGACAGTTTCATGAATGAAGAAGGAACAGATCCTTAGCTTCTAGCAAAGCCGCAGAAGCAATGATATATCTGGTTGCATGTTTTGCTGTTCGTAAAAGTATGTATCTTGACATAGGCAGAAAGACTGTTATCTTTGTTCTCTCTCTCACATTTTGCTTATTGAATTGTGATCTACTTACACTGAATTTCAAATGAAAGAACTTTGCTTTAAAATATGAGTGCTTGCTTAAACAAGTGAATGGGAGGTTCCACGTTTCTGCTTTGGTGGCAGTTAAGTACTGATTACTGCTGAATATTTTGCCCCTAGTACATGACTCAGAAGTCACAACTGGCAAACAGCGGACCACAAGGTCACAATGCATTCAATCTTTTTAGCTATAAATGAGATAGAGCAACAACAAGAAAAGAAATCCCACAGGTATATTTTGTTTGCTGTATTTTGTGACCAAGAATATTCAAGACCATTTCACTCATTTTGACACTAAATATGCTAAAGTGTAGACTGAGTCTGAAAAACTGTAATCTCCAGCTCAATTTTACTGTATAATAAAATTCTGAGACATGCTGTAGGCTTTCTGTTGAGGTATTGCTACTATAAAGCCCCAGGACTAGATTTAACATTACTAACAAAAAAAAAAAAAAGGATGATTCTGAACACAGCTGTTTCACTGAGGGACACTTCATTTTCTTTTGTATACCTTGGAGACAAAATATTACTAGTATGGTGTATGCCTATGGCTATCTGACTATGCCAGAGGAGACTGACAAGCAAGACCAGCCCTTGAACCAAGAACAAGCTGTATAATGTTGCAGCCTAAATGGTAAGAGATAACATATTAAGAGTTGATTATAGGAAATAATTCTGGATTGAGTGACCCTGATTTAATTCAGTTTAAGTTTAATAGAAACATAAACCAAATGGGTTATTAATTACATTTTTAATTATTTCAAATGGGCAGGCTTTGAGAAATTAAGGGAGCTTGTCAGAGAATTCAGCTGTGATGACAAGCTCAAGCCTTGCAGTGTTGATGAGGCCTGATGTTTTTGAGTTTTTTGTTATTAAGCATATCTTTCCAGAGTTGTCTTTACAGACTTTTGAATTTCTTGCAGGAAATGGTTTCAAACCTACTGAGTGAATGGCTACTCAAGAGAAGAATATGACAAATATGCAGAGAGCCTGTAGGGAATGGAGAGACAGATTGATCAGCAAATAAATCTGCTTCAGAAGTCAGAAAACTTAGAAAAAAAGGCAAGAACTGGCAAAAGATGTTCTGGTAAATTTAAAACAAATAATGAAAGATTCATGCAGTAAAAATTAAAGATAATGTCAAGCTTCAACGGAAAATGTGATACTTGTTTTTCAATAGAATCACTGTTGAAATGGGAGACACGTCATTCCATTATAACAAATACTGAGAAGAGTCCTAAAAAGGTGCTACACTGGGGCAAAAATTAACATTATTTTTAAAAGACTGAAAGACTTACTGCATGGCATGGTATATGATATGGTAGGAATTTCTAATAGGTGTACTGTTTCAGAAACAGATATTTAGTTTCCTTTAATATTGTGATCCACAGAACAAATCTGTGCAGTGACCATCTAAATTGAACAAGCAAACAGTATGATTTATTCCTCATATTGTCATTAAACAGTTAATTATCTTGTAATCTAATTATTATAGTTTTACAGAGTGTGCATTCTTGCATTCTTGGTGCATGTCTTATCACTTCTGGGGAGACCTGTTTCAACAGTGGTGTGACGTTAGGCCTGTGTCAGACAGGGAAAGACTAGTGTGATTCTGAGTCATCGCATTTGTGCTCTGGTATTTTTGTGTGTGTGCTCCAGTTAAGTGTTCCAAAACGTACCTGTTAATTACTTCAACTCTTGATGTTCATAGATTATATTTAACTATCTCTCATAACTCTCCCATAACTCATAACACTGTGGAAAATGGTTACAGAATGCTACAATTCTAATGTCATATCTATTTACAATAATCTTAAATTCTTTTTATATACATTGTGTGTATGAAAACTCCCCCTCATTTTCTTCTGCCATGAAAAGGACTAGTAATTGGTTTGTGAATTGAAGAAGTCCCATGCCTCTGTCAAAACAGAATGTAAGTTGAACAAAGGTTCTTGGTTGGTCTTCTTTCCAAGCATGATTTTTATCTGAGTCCTTTGTGCTCGAAACATCTTTGGAGACAACCGAAAATAGTTGCCATGGACACATCTATGTGAAAACTCTATATTCTTTTTTTACTCTGTGACTGCATACTGATATGCACTGTATAGAACAGACTGAGTGTCCCCAACTTAATTTCTAACATGCACTGTGACTTTTATGCAACTCCCTACACAGCTAATTTACACAGCTTGCTTTCATTGCAGTCTCTATCAATTTTGGCAATTTCTTGCGAGAGACATGGCACCACATGCTCACTGATAGCTCATAATAAGCCAGTATCTTTGCTGTAAAGATAACTGTGAACATCATTAAATGAATGCTATGCCAGGGGGAATGGGTATCCTTCCAAGAAAGCTTTTCATTTATCCTGTAAGTGTCAAGCACAACAAACAAACTGTAATCAGCCTGAGCTGCTTGGGATTTCTGGGGTTGGAAATTTCTCATACAGTGAAAATTCAGTGTGTTCATACATAAGGACAGCAGTGCAACCTCCACCTTCTGGCAGCAATCTAGAAGTCCTAGGCTAAACCTAGTTTGCTTCAAAAAATCTATCCAGCCAGATACTTCTGGATGAAGAGTTATGTATTATTTTATCATTATATTAGTGTTAAAAAATGAGATGAATGGAGTTGGGGAATTTTACCTCCTAAGTGTTTTGCTGTAAGGAATGTCAATATATTATAAAAGATGCAGGTTATATATAGTTTATATGTTTTATAAATCTTGTATAAATAATAAATGAGAATAAACTGATAAAAGGTTCCTGAATGTCTCTGTAATGAGCTAATTTACTATAAAAATTATTTTATGAGGACATAATAACAGTGCTTCAGTGAAACATCCAGCTGATAGGTCTGCTACCCATTCACCAGATACAGTGTGTTTAGTGCACTTGAGGAAAATACTGTGTTTAATTCATTTTCATCCTTATTCTAGGCTAAAGGCAAGTTCTGAGTTCATAAAAAGTGCTCAGAGCTCTTCCGAGGGCCTTGGAGGGAATGACAGGCTACAGTGGAATAATTGTGGTTCCTTGAGACTTTAAAGAGGAAGAAGTAACAAACTTGTCAGCCACATATATGTGCAGCAATGCACTAACCCTCCTCTCCCCTTAAAGTCACTGACTGCTCATGTGCAACTAATGGTAGTAATATTTCCCTCATCAAAGTGCACAAATGAACAATATTGATTTATTCTACTCTATGAAAACAGCTTTGTCAATATTCTCTAAAAATCTTGATATAATTAGATTTTATAAAGGAAAATTCAGCTTACAGTACAGGATTTATTTACTTAAGAGTAAAGAGTAATAAAATATGAAACTACAGTAGTTATGTTGGAGACAATGTGCTGTACTTACTATGTAAGTACTAGAAAGCTGTATGACAGTGAAGGAGAGTCTGCAGACCAAGAGGAATGTGTTTTTGTGTTCCTAATCATAGATGATGGGATATTGCAACCAGCTGGGCTGCTCTGTGTTGATGTTGTTGCAGCAGCCTCATTAGGAAAATTGAATTGCTGTAAGGTAAGTATATTTGCCTCCATCTGCCTGGAAATTTCCTGGACCCCTTTAGTGAAAGCACTGGGGTACTTGTCCAGAATCTGTTCTGCTATTTTGCTTTGATCTACCTGTTAAAGCTACTTTGCTTTGATCTATGTAATACTGATAAGTCTGAGACTGACACTAAGGAGCCAGTTCTGCAGGAGATACAGTGAAAGGTTTGTGCTAAAGCTGAGTACCTACATCACAATGATATAGCATCAGTGACCCTCAAGGAGGTGGTGTGATAGGGTCATGAAGGTAGTAATTCATTAATATAGTTATAGTATAGTAAGTTTGGAAAAGTTTCATTACTAGAGGCAGCTCAGTGTAACAGTGTCTGCTCCTGGCTATGTACACTTGTTTGCTTTTGGCTTCTTACACTTTGCATCTAAAGGTGTTTTCCTCCCTATTCCTTTATGGAGCCATATAAGAAAGTAAGATGACTGCTGTGATGTATTAGAAAATGTTCTAGATGTGATGGGTTTAACCAGATAAATGGTTGTTAAATTACAGCAGAACTGAAATCTTTAACATAATTCCAAGACTATGACATGTAAGAAGTGTTCTGGATATGTTGGTGCTTCTCTTAGCTACAGTTCAAACAGTTCAAAAGTAGAAGAGATTATAGAAGGAGGGAACAGTAAAATGCAATAGTATGTAAGTGTATCAGCTCTGAAGCCAGTAAAGGTAACTGGTAAATGAAATAATGCCCTCCAAAAATACAAAAGTAGTAGGCAGATTTTTAAGGCACTTCTTCCTTCCTCTGAGTGATCATGAAAGCTTCTATAAATTCAGTAGGATTCATCACAACCTTCTGCTGCCAGAGCAAAGACTCCCATAAGTTTATGTAATAACATGATAATATCATTCCTATTAAAAACAGATTGTTACCAGAAACATCTCTTAGAAATCAGTCTGTACATTGTGAGTTCTTTTCATTATCTTAATGAAGAATTTTTGTAAACTCGGATTATAGTTTTAAAGCATTTAGGATTGTTTCAAACCAAAGGTTAACTAACCTTGTAAACCAAAAGAAAAAAAAAATCCTAAAATTGCTATTTTGTAATGTAATTTTTAGTTAAATTAAATTATTATTAAGTATTTTTAGTCTGAACAATTTTGGTATACAGCTGAAATTTCTTGGTCAATTAACCACCTCTGATGAACAGAAGAGGAATTCCTTGAGCAAATTTATGCATAATATTTTGGCATTTAATTCACTGCAGCCTTAGGGCATATTAGAGAATGTATAGAGCCATCTGGAAAAAGGGTGAGGGAGTTGTCTCCTGAGGGAATTCCATAGTTGCCCTGATAAGTCTTCAGCAGATAAGAAGCTGGTCAACATTAAGAAGCTTGTCAACATTAGGTAATGCCACCACTTCAGTACATTTTAGCACTGCACTACTTATTTCTAAATGGTTGATCATTGAAATGGAGAGTCAAGTTTACCTACCTGCTAGGTGATTAATACAGGAGCAGAACCAACTTCCTAGTTCTTTTCTCATTATGATGAGCAGCTGGAGGAGAGCTGTGAGGTCCAAACCATTACTATTCTTTTCCTTTCCCTGCTTTAACTACCACTCTTCTACAGGAAAAAGAACAGAACTGTGTTTCTTGCTGTCTAGGCAGTGGAATGTCTTGTCTCCCTGCCTGGATTGTCTTGATCTTCTGACCCAACTAAAAGTTGGTTTACAACTGAAACTAAGTAACCAGGTACAAAAAAATGCTTCAGAATTAGGTGGGAATGGAAGGACATAGTAGCTATAGAATAATTGGTTTTACCAGATCCAAGTCATAAGGTATATTTGAAAATGAAAAGTGCCTATTTTGTCTGAGTCAAAGGAAATTAAAGAAAATGATGGAGTAGGTAAATTGAAATCTAATTAGTACTTTTGGTGCCTCTTCCTTACTCAAGTGGTTATATGGAGGCAGCTTAAATTCAAAATTAAGTAGCTGGAAGACAGCAATTAAGACCTTAAAAGGAAATGTTCTGCTTTTAATATTCTGTAGTGTGTTCAGTCTCACATGTTTTGCTGCAGCATCTGCATCCAAATTATACAAGAGAAAGGAGAAGGAAAAAAAAAAGCTTGGAAACTTTTTATAAATAGTGAAGTTTAAAGAGACATCCCTGAGAAAATTTTGATCCTAAACCAAATATGAATCCTTAGGAGCAAGAAAGAAGTCCTAAGGTGGGCTGAGTAGTAAGACAAATGATTAAAATTACTTATCAGTGTTTTATAATTCTGAGGAAAGTGAGGGATAGGTAAAGGCTACTTTGTTAATGGTGATCTGAAACCAGAAATCATCTCTCTTTTCAAAGATGCTTTTATTTGCTGACTTCAGCTATTTATTACTAGACTAGCATCAATACCAGTACTGAGAAGTAAATTCTACAGCTGTATTCAGTAATAGAATATAACCCTAGCACTTTTGCAGGCTCAGATTATTACATTTGAGCATATATAAAAATAAAATATAAAAAAACGAGTAAAAACATACTTATTGGGAGTTGTCTA